AACTCCTGACATTTCAGAATAAGCACATCTATTCCATAGAAATGTGTCTATAGTCTAACATGACATTTTAAATTATGTCAAAGTACAGTAGGATGAACATGAACTCGTTCCTGAACATGAAGTCCCCGTGTGGACAGTGTGGGGCTCCAGTGGGAGTGATGCTGTGCGCTCTTACCGTCCACGGCCATACTCGGTCTCAGCGTGTATCTCTCCGTGGTGTCAGCAGGACTCTCCCATGCTTCTGTCAGAAAAACGAACCGGCAAGAGGAGCGCGTCTCTCTGTCCTCTCAGAGCCGCTATGAGAGCATGGAGCCGGCTGCTGACTGCGGCCGTGCACCGAGAAGAGAAAGGGAAACCTACATCACTCTCTAACGCACATTTGTTGTGCGGGACCAGTCGGATTTTACAGCGGCTCCTTGTGAATCTCCGCCCCCCGCTGCTCCGCACCTGACCGCCGGGAGACAAAAGGTCATTACGCACCGACAGCAGCTGCTCCTGGAGCAAGACTGGATCCTCCTGCTCTCTCTCTATCTCTCTCTCCCTTTCTCTCTCTCGCATGCACAAACACACACGCCCCATTTTATTATGATGGCAACCACAGGCTACAATAGAGGCTTTCATTATTTAGGATCTTCATTGTCGTATCCAAAAGCAGTTTTGATATGATACTTCCCAATATGATGGTTTTAATAAAGTGACACGCAAGTGACAAAAAGACACAATTTCCTATTCAAATTGTTGAATCTGGGTGGGATACGATTTGTATTGTTTTTTTTCAAATTTGTTGTTCAGATTTTTTAAATGTATTTGTATACTTTGTTTAAATCGTTTTTTAATTAAAAAGATAATTAAAAAAATGGGGAACATAATTATTGCAATCACCACGAGTTGATAGGGCCAAAACCACACAGAGAATACAAATACATTCTTATAAGAAAGTTTACAGATTAGATACTGGGTATAACCTAGTATAATATATATGAATATAAATGTGTATCTGTCCCTCCAATCCACATTGTTTCTACTTTCAAAATCAGAGTATATGTGATGGCGAATCGCAGTAAATGCATGAACCTGCCTGTAATAGTTACATTTCTCTTCTGTATCACTGTTGGTTGTAAAAGGCTAGATTTTTAAATTTGTATTCATCACTTTCTTTAAAGAGATTTTTCAGGTTGCAGTTGATCAGGGCACAAGCCTCCCAGATTAAACAAAGGGAAACTTCAATTCAGCAGAAATCCTCCAAAGCATGTTTGTTCCTTGGGTGCAGTAAATATTCTCCTGGGAATGAGCTCCCTTTATTGTAGCCTATTGTTGCAGCTATGAAAACGACAGTGTGTACCTTGTGTTTTTATTTTTGCATCTTTATAACTTGCAGACACAAACCATCGTCTTGTATTCGACCCATATCCTCTGCAAACAAGATCAATCAAAAGCAAACCTTGTGCATGTCAGACTAAGAAAAACCTGTATGCACAACTGAATAAGCTCTAAGGGTGCATCAGCGATATACAACTTGCCCCGTTTACTCATGATGATACTCTCTTTTATTATTTTCTACTTGGCCCTAAAGTTTTCCAATTATCTACCATGAAGGTTATGAGTAAAATATTATGGAAAGTCAGAATACCCAAAAATATGGCAGTAAGATCTGTGATGTGAAGTTTTGGGATGAAGTACAGCACTTCCATAAAGACAATTCCTGCAGTGCAAGTAAAGAAAAAGTTTTCATGTAAAAGTTATTGATATCAACAAATTTTGCTCAACGGACACATTCACTTCATAACACAAACTTTCCATCAATGAGAAAAAATGTCCCAAGCCCAACCTGAATTAAGCCTGATGGCATCGAGGAGGTGGCACTTTATAAAGTTGCCTCCAGAACTACAGAAAACCTTATAAAGCTGCTTTTTGTGGTTTGTTTAATTGGACCTTTTTGTATAAAATCTGTGGATTGGCCCTTTAAGGTGATGAGCTTTATTGACACACTGATTTGTGAGCATGTGTTGGATAACACCTAATCAAACACGTGATATTTGCACAAACCCAGAAAAAGATCCTGGATGATCGGGAAACAGAAAAACAGAAAATCCTAAAAACAGTTGTCCCTCGATAGACACGCACATCAGCAACTATTTGCCCGTCAGACGGTTGAGCTTCACTTCAAAGCAGAGAATCTGAGAGCAGGTTGTAAACGTGTCTTCCTCAATTTGATCTTAAAACATGCCCAGCTAATTGTTTCTGCTTTTATTGAGGCTGCTCAGCGCCCAAGCTTCTTTTTTCTTTCTCATATAACACTACAGAGCTATGTCCCTTCAAGACTCCGAGACGGTCCATCAGACGGTGCTGGAAGATGTGGGCCCTCCCTGAAGCTCATGCAGACACTGGATCATCAAAGCCTGAAGATGATGAACAAAGGACTTTCTGGTTCATCAAGGCTTCACCAGGACATACACTGACAAGAGCTAAAAGCACACTCGCTCGCACAGACACACACACTCGTACAGATTTAAACATGATGTTGCACTCATTGTTATCCCCATGGACACAGTCACGCACACATGCAGGCAGGGATGCACATTTGCACGCACTCACTCATAATCTCAGAGATGGAGCTTAATTTAGAAATGTGCCGCTGTGCGAGTGTATTCTTTCTGCAAAAATAAAGTGGCGAAGTCAAGGCATGTAGCTTTAATTCAGAGGATGGTCAGTGCAGTGAATAATGAATAGAACCTGCAGAGATCAAGAAGCAAGATTTGCTGATACCAGCTCGCCTGGTGTCAGGTGGCAGAAACACAGCAGCTAAAACATGAGCTACTGTTGTGGGAAGATATTGTTTGTGTTTTGTGGCACAGCAATGGCAGCAGGAAAGTGAGGGAACAAGAAAATGAAAATGTTATTGTCTGTAGATGCTCATTCCTCACTCTGTAGCTATGAGTTTCCACTGAGAGTTAAGTTAAAACACATTTTCTGGGTGTTAAGGAATGTTATTCTCTCCATGCAGCCTCTGCATTACATCATGCAACTAACAGATTATGCCATTAAACTTTTATTGTCTGCATTAATCCAACACACAAGGCCTGTCCTGCTCATGCCAAGAGACCTTTGTTGTATTGCAACAGTGCAAGACATATGCATGGCAAATACACAAAGCTGCAATAAAAACATTATGTCTGTGCTGTAAATTGCAAACATATTCTTTTTTCATGACAGCTGTATGAAAACAGCTGTACTGCAAAAAGAGTATGTTTGTCCTGCAAAGAGCCTGTGGCTGATAACTCAAAGTAAAAGGAACATCTTGAGCTGGTGCTAGGGCTCTCTTCTTGAGAACACTTCCTCAAGAGACATAGAGAGGCCATTGATAAACTGGAGTGTGGCATCAGCCTTGCCAAAGCTGGCGTCATGGTGAATGCCTGTCCCTTGAGTTGGCAGGGCCCACATACAGCGCCAAAGGTGCCAAATAGACCAGAGGAATGGAGAGAGAAGAACAGCCGAGGAGAGAGCAGACCAACCTTTGGTGCAACTGAATGTTTAGAGACAGAAAAGATTCAAAGAGGTTGGATTTCAATAGAACATAAGAGTTCTCCTCTGCCTGCACTTAATCTGATCTGAAAGGGAGGGCTCTTTCAGGTGGAAGTGAAAGCAATCTAATGAATTCCCACAGGAAGCTATTTACTCCAGCGAGATGAGTGCAGATGACAGAGCGGAATCCACTTTATGGTGTTAAGTTCTGGGCCTGAGCTGTTTTCCTAATCAGAGACCTGGGGGAGTTTTCTGTGATTCTAAGTGCATATTGTAGAGGGGCCCTCTTTTGAAAGCCGTGTCCCCTGCTCCGAATGTATTCAGAGAGGGGAGCAAAAGATGACAGAACCTATTTGAGAGATATATTCCCTTTGCCACTCCCTGATCATCACCTCCTGTCTCCTGTTCTGCACCCAATGTATGTGTGTGTTTGTGTGTGTGTGTGTGTGTGTGTGTGTGTGTGTGTGTGTGTGTGTGTGTGTGTGTGTGTGTGTGTGTGTATACATGCACATACCATATCCAGGGAGGGAAGGGTGGGAAGAGATTCTCATTCCACTCACTCTCCGATGGTGACCTCACTCTTATGCAAATTTCCACAGTGTAACAGACAGTCTGAGTTTGACCTACACAACCTCCTGTCTCTCTCACGCACGCACACACACACACAGACACACACACACACACACACTCACACACACACAAAATCACTCTCCATCACCATCATCAAATCACGAGGCTGTTCACCATGTAGTGTGTTCACTTTGTTGTTGATTTACTGTCGCTCTCTCTGTCATCAAATCTCTTCCAGTTTGGATGCTCAACATGATCACATTTAGCAATAAGTGATGACACTGATTTTTTTATCCATCAACAGACAAAGCACTTATTGTTTTGTTAAAAGTGGACACTGGCCCAAACCTGAAAATAAAATGGCAACCTCAGCGAGTAAAAAAAAGAACAGGACAGCAATATTATCACTAATCATCCCTTTGATTTCTGAGGTTTTCTTTGAAAGTGCCACTCACTCTAGTGGTCAGTCGTCCCCTGGAGATGGTTCCTAATGAACATGATTGCAATATAATGTGTGTTTTATGATTTTTTTCAAGAAGTATCTGGGACTTTTTCTTGGAACTACTTCAAATAGAAGCAATAACCGATGAATAATGTATATTACTGAATTTCTTATATATTGGACTGGAATCCTACTTTGTTTTAATAATGTCTGCTGTTACTAACAGCCACAGAATAGTACAATGAAAATGATAAACTCGCTATGTTACTGTATTATGAATTTTACTCTCACAATGTGTTCAAATCTTCAACAAAGGAGTTAAAACGACTCAAAGACAGATTCTGGCACGAAACGGCAGATAAAGAGGACAGTGATATTTGTGTAATCTTCATATATATAAAAACCTCTTAATGTTGGATCCTCAGGGATATTCTGATAGGAAGGAATCCAAATTTATTCAAGCACCATAATTTCAAAGAAGACAGGATGCTCTGTCTTTCTCAATCTAAATGTTAAAACTCAGGGAGTCATATCTCTCTGCTCTCCTCAAAACAACCCATCAGCTAAATATCAGCCTCAATCAAACAACAGGTCAGGATATAACGGCTTCAGTCAATAACCTCATTTATCTCCTCAGTCGTCAGGGAAACAAATCAACTCTGCATCGTGAGCTGTCAGAAGTTTAATGTGAGAAATATGAAAAGCTCTCACTAAAACCATCGTGCGTGTCATTCACTTTCCTCCTTTCTTCTCCATCATTGAATAAAAGTGAATGCTTATACAGATGTATCATGGCAGCAGGTTGCTGCCTTGACACTAAGTGAAAAGTAAAGCACTTGCTTTAGCAACCATTAGCAGTGTTACTGTATGAGCTTCTGTAAGTCTCCGTCATACAAGTCTTCTCCAGAGGTGACCCCACTGTTGAAGGAGAGGAGTGTAAGGTCTTTTTCTTTACATGGTAATTAGTCTAATGAAGCATTTCCAATACGATTGACCTGCAGTGCACGTGCCACATTTGTCAGTGCATTGGTATTCATGACACAAAATCCATCATCTTTTTCTGCTTCTGTACGGTGGCTCAGATCCTTGGCTTGGGCTAATTACTGGACTGCCTATATTCAAAGCTTTGTTGTCACACTAAGCTCAGTGGATCAATGAAATTCCATTTGAGCATCTGTTGCCCAAAACGGCTCTGGCTGGCCTCCTCTGAAGGAAGGCCCTAATAACAATTTACTGCTGTCCTTTCACAAGGACACTTTGCTTTGTTTCACAATGATACACACTCGGTAATTAGCGCAAAATAAATCATTAATCCTCCCCTGACTTTCACATACGAACGAAGTCAGGCTTTGTGCATGCAGACTGCTTTCAACTCAGAGACGCTGATGGAGTTTAACATGAGTGTAATACTGAAAAATGATGTCCGTGTCCTATTTTGCACCCCCTCCTTTTCCTTCTTCACCCACATTATATTGTTGAAATATAATGAGCTAGAATTAACTAGCATTGCAGCTCAGTGTGAATGATGTGTCTGCGTGTGTGTGTAGGTGTGTGTTTGTGTGCGATGCATGAAAGCATTTCAATAAACCTGTCATCTCAACATATCTCCTCCTGTGCATCTTTCTGGCAAACCGCAGCTTTCTCTCAATATGTGGACCGTAAATGGAGCGTAATGTTATTTGCTGGGATATTTCATCTTGTACTTCTTTGTGTCTTCCTATATGTTTCTGCAGCATCCATAAAGCTGCAGCTACATTCTACATATTAGACATCTCTCAGGACAGATAGTGAGAGTGTCATATGCACTGCATAAACAGATTAAATCGAGTCATGCATCCGTGCAAACTAGCACACACATGAATGCATAAACATGTAGAAACATGCAATGCAGATTATAGTATGCTTCCATGGAAATACACACAACACAGTATAGACAGTAACACACAATAATTCAGCTTTTTTATAACACATTTCAATTCACTAGTTACACATTCTCACATTTATTTATTTTTTATTAGCTTTATTTTGTGACTCCCCCTCATCAAAAATGCAATTACATTCAAATGAGGCGATTAGTCTTTGTTAAAAAATATACTGAGCTATTCAATTTTTTATTTCAGCTTTGCTCACATTGACCAATTGCACTAATGGGTCAGTGTAATGGGCTAAATTGAGAAAATAATTTTTTTTGTGTGTTCAACATAATACAAATCTGCAAATGGATTGTCAAACACAACACGAACATTTACTTTGAAAAATAAAAACCCATAATTTCAGTGCAAATCAAATGTAACTACCACATTATATAAGTTACTCAACACTCAATGACACAGTCGCTGTAAGACTCTGTATCACGATGTTTTCTATAATAATGCAGATAAACTACTTTCTCACTTGCTCATTTCATAAAACTTTTATTTTGTTCATCATCTAAATCCAGAGAAGCTAAATGCATCACAGTGAAATATGTGCACTTATGTAAAATACATGTGTCCCTCTCCAACAACAGTTGTTCTACAATCCTCAGTGAGTTGAGTATATTTAGGAGGGAAAGGAGGCTGTCAGCCTACTGCAATATTCATTATTATTTCAATGAAAAGACGACTCTCAGTGATTCAGTGGTTTGTTTTCAACATGTAATCTGTGACTGTTGTCGAAACGTTTAAAGTGGAATAAACTTCAACCTCAAAGAAACTTTTCATGTTGAATTAACTAACATTTCTGTCTGTGAACACAGGGAATTACAATTAAAGTAATGCCTGTCAGGCGAGTCTGAATGATATTTAGCAACAACAACAAAAAACAATCAAATAAGAAATTAACACTTATTTCATCGATAAAACAAACAAATCAGTTCAAATGATTCAGTGTCTCAAACCTGAGACAGAGTGAGCGCTCTGTCCAAAAACAAAACAATCTCTGCAGTATCTCTGCTAATGTTTCTGTCCTCTTCAGTTGAGCTTCTCCTCCACTAGTGAACCATCTCCCCAAACAAACCCATAGAAGATCTCTGGTGAGGAAGTAAAGTGAGACAGTGTGACTGTGCTGGACTCACCTCCAGCACCAGGCCTCATGTCTTCATGTTCACAGGAGAGTCTGAGATCCAGAGTTTATCTGGAGACAGAGCTGCAGGGGAAGCTGCTGCAGGAACAGATGCTCTGTGACAAACTCCCCTGCACAGGGAGGCACCATCATGAGCTTTACTCTCCATATTTGAAGGTAAGTGAGAGTGCTTTAATGGGCCCAGAACTTTATTAAATTTTTTTTTGGAATGATTTTAGATGATTTTCCTGATTTTCAGGGTAAATGAAGCTGGTATTTTCAAAATCCACACGTGACACCTCATGTCTTCCAGCTCGGTTCCACACAAACCAGATATCTCCCACTCTCACTGTCACCATGAGCATATTTTTACTGCAGTCTGTGTGTGCGTGGTGGAGGGTGATGGATTCCTGCTGAATGTGGTTATGCTTATGGAAACACACTTTCACTGTACAAATACAGGCGGCTTCTTCATGTAGAATTCCCATTTTAGCCATTTGAATGTAACATTGTGTTTACCAGTCGTGCATTAAAAGATACAGGGCTACATGTGTGCTTCAACAAGGCATTGAGCAGGTTTTCTATTGTTAATATTGGGCTGTGTTATTAATAATTTAAGCATCTCTCAGAGACTGAGAGGATTGTTCATCCATGGGTCAGTATTGTGATGAGCATGCAGATGTGGGTTTTTACTGCCTGTCCTTAATAAAACATATACAATGTGAATTGGAGCTGCACATTGTACGTGATCATATAAATCATTGAACTAAAATGAAATCATCATTGAAATAATTGAAAGAAAGTAAAAGCAATGCAATAACTGGGTGAAACGAAGGCTCGAGTTGCACTTCATGTTCAAATTGGCTCTCGGCTGTGGGTGCCATATATCTCCTGGTGTGTCTGACAGTCCATTTTCATCATAACATCTTCTCCCAGGAGTGAAATGATGTCTGCCCTCCAGGCAATGTAAATGAAGAGAAATGTGAGGGTCTGGGCTGAGATTCAGAATATGGGTGGGTGAAGTTAAACGTGACTGAAGCTAATTGATGTATGGCCTCTCTTCGTCTCATGGGATGGAGCCCAGAAATGTCATGTTAGAGTGTAATTAACTTTATTGCTGTCTCCAGTCTCATGTTTGAATCCAGACTCTCCAACGTGAATATTTTTCACCCATAATGTGAGATAAGTTATCGCTGCGACACATTAACACATGTCTGTCAGAGCTGCACTGCAATCACTTAAAATATATGGCTCGCGTGTTAGAAATGATGTCAATATCAGTTCTACTAAACTATTAATTTAGTACTTCTACTGGGAGCCAGAGTATATTAAGTCTAACTTGGTTTTACTGTGGCGCACATGCTGATCCTTTCAAATATAGGAGCCCTGGTAAATCCCTGAGATGATGAAGAATGGGAAGGTTTTTAATTCGGATAATATGAAGCCTCCAGGGCACAAATGTTTCTTTAAACAAATGTCAGCTATACATATATCTATATATATACACAATGGCGGGGGTCACGGTTTTATTTTTGATGCTGAGTCAAGGGAATAAATGAGGTTACATCATCAGATACTGTATACCAAAAGCATATTTTGCTGATTAGGTGAATTACCAATATTATTATACATGGGTTTGAAGTTTGCATTTATGCCTCATACAAAAACAATCATTATAATTCAAATGCCATGTAAAATCATGTATAAAAATCACAAAACAAAGCATAAAAATGCACAAAATCGAATATCACGATGCTGCTTCATGCATCTCAGGATTTACCCACTGTTGCATTAGGAAGAGAAATCTACAGGCCTCGTTTTGCTGGGTATGTGGTGCCCTCCTGTGGCTTCTGTGATCAGAGAGGGTGACATCGCCATGAGATAAAATAGATATAGCAAAAACATATTTTCACCACAGTTCCACAGTGTGAGGTGGAAATTTAAACATTTTTCTGATTCACACAAACGAATTCATGAGCTAAAAACACAACGTAAGATACATTTTAAGAAGCAGCACCCAGACTCACCTGTGGGGGCGCTGACACAAGCACTAACCGATCTTTCCAGAAAGCTGTTCGCTGGTACCGGAAGTGCGACTGTTGTTTATCCGGCAGTGTGCATCCTCGCCGTAGGAGAAACGATGGCGAGTTCTGGTGCTAAACAGGCGCCGAAAATGACCTCCAAGGCATCGGCGGGAGGTTCCGGGGCGCCCGGGGCCAACGGTGCGCCCCCGGCAATGCCCCTCGCCTCTCCGCTCATGGGGAAAAAGAAGAAGCCTTTCCTGGGGATGCCCGCTCCGCTCGGCTACGTCCCGGGTCTCGGCAGAGGGTGAGCTAACTTAGCTACCTAGCATGCTAACAGCTCTCTAGCTAACAAGCAATGCTCTCTCTGTTGAATGAAGTCTGTGGTTCAGCAAACCTTCCCTATACAGAACCACATTAAGCATCAATAATAAAATAATCGTGGTAACATAAACAGCAACACATGAGCTGAATGAAATCATAATTATTGTTCAATCTACACAGTAGCTACTTACAACAACTAAGGTTTTAACTTGGCATGAGCTGATTACCTCTATTGCATGAATGAATTCATCATAACGTCAGAAAAAGGAGAACATTAATATTAAATCTTAATGGCCGACAGTACAGCAGTGTTTTAGTTTATATTTGTTAATAATGAGTAATTGGAGCCTGTTCTCAATGTGCTGCAAACAGAGCTGAAGAGAATACCTGCTGGCGTGTAGTTTGTTTACTTCTGTCATTCACATGTGCCCTGTCCACATGGCCATGCAAGTCTCTTAATCTGCAGTTGCAGTGTTTAGAACTTCATACATTACTTTTCCAAATGTACTCTGTTTTCTGTCATATCCTCTCTGACAACAGTGAATATTGTTTATGTGCTGGTAAACTCAATTTTAGTTAGGGGCCAGCTAACTTGGGTAAATTAATCAAACAGCAAAACACATTTAACATTTATCTATTGTGCAATGTTTTCAAATTGTTTGAACTTCACTGTCCGAGTTCTATGTAAAAAAAAATTCTGTAATTCTCCTCAGTGCAACTGGTTTCACCACCCGATCAGATATTGGTCCTGCTCGTGATGCCAATGATCCAGTGGATGATCGGCATGCCCCCCCAGGGAAGAGGACAGTTGGGGACCAAATGAAAAAGAACCAGGAGGAGGATGAAGAAGATCTCAATGATACCAACTATGATGAGGTGCCTGTGACTCAATCGTCTCTCTGGCTGTTATTTTATGTTTTTTTTAAGTAAAATTGTGTATAAAGTTTCCAAACTCATAGCTGACCAGACCATTAATCTGGATAGAGTAATGATTATATGATATTCTCTGTTAACTTTATGCTGTTTGTTATTTTTGTAGTTCAATGGATATGCAGGTAGCTTGTTTTCCAGTGGACCCTATGAGAAAGATGACGAAGAGGCAGATGCTATATATGCTGCACTAGACAAGAGGATGGATGAAAGACGCAAAGAAAGAAGGTAACAAGACATTTTTCCCTCCCTGGTTTTAGGTCAAAGCTTTCTCCAGATTTCGCAGTGTCTTCATGTTGGACATCCTTTGCAATTGATAATGTATGTGTGGCTGACTTTTAAAGTTTTCTTGTTTTTTTTAGGGAGCTGAGAGAAAAGGAAGAAATCGAGAAATATCGTATGGAGCGACCCAAGATACAGCAGCAGTTTTCAGATCTAAAGGTATAACATTTCACATGTGCCAAACTGCCTTTCTTTTCCAACCCTAATCACCCAGTTTTCCTGTCCTCTCTTACACTTGCCCCTCAACATTTTAGTGACTGTCAAGTGATAGCTTCATTTTCTATGTTAAACTTTGTAAGAATAGGAAAACATTGTTCTAACCTTATCCATCAAGACCTTTGGAGAATATCTAGCTGTAGTCATAAGGGTTACTTCAAATCAAGCAGGTGGAGCTAAAATACATTTTTAACCCACAGAATCTATGTAATCTGGAGAAATTTTAGAGGTTCTCACAAGATATGCCACATCACTGACATTCCAATTTATTAAATCTCTTAATTAGAATGTATCCTTAATTATTCTTTTTCTTGTCTCTATCTTGTCACAGAGGAAGTTGGCAGAGGTGTCAGAAGAAGAGTGGCTGAGCATCCCTGAGGTTGGAGATGCAAGGAACAAGCGACAGAGGAATCCCCGCTATGAAAAACTCACCCCTGTCCCTGACAGCTTCTTCTCCAAACACCTGCAGACCGGAGAGAACCACACCAGTGTTGACCCTCTGCAAGGGGTCAGTATACACACTAAAACAAATATCTTTACTGTGGACATCTACATAAAGACACACACATCAGTGAAAGATATGTAGTTTCAGCTTGCACCAGCAGGAGTCATGATATCTCACTGCAAAGAAACAAATCACTTCAACTGTACAATCTCAGTGGAATCACCTGATTGGTTGGATTGACTGTTTATGCAAGTGGAACCCATTACCACACACCTGAATTGAGAGCAAATGGAAAAATGGCCTTCTAACAACTGATTTCAACATTTGTCATTCTGAACTTCCATTATTACTATAAATATACTGCAATGTATTTGTCATTCTGCAACATTGGACAGCCATTGCTTACAGTGGTAGTGTCACCTGATCCAGGCCTATTTTGCACAAGAGATTAAATCCTCTTCTTTTTGATGATTATTTCTTTTCTTCCCTAGCTGGGAGGTCTGAACACCCCTTACCCTGGAAGCATGACACCTGGTCTGATGACTCCAGGGACAGGAGAGCTGGACATGAGGAAAATTGGCCAGGCCAGGAACACACTCATGGATATGAGGCTCAGTCAGGTAACTGGTGCATCATCCTCAGTCGTTTTACTCCACTTGATATCCCAATGCACAGTTTTTATTTATTCTATCTCCTGTGTTTACATTTTATCTGTCTTAAGGTTTCTGACTCAGTGAGTGGACAGACAGTGGTGGATCCTAAGGGTTACCTGACAGATCTCAACTCCATGATCCCCACACATGGAGGAGACATCAGGTAGAAAAGCTGAAGGAACACCAATATACTTATGTGTGTAAAATAAAATGTTGTTCGTCAGATGATTTATTTTTGCCTCCTTATTTACAGTGACATCAAGAAGGCTCGTCTGCTGCTGAAATCAGTGAGGGAGACCAATCCCCATCATCCGCCTGCCTGGATTGCCTCTGCCAGGTTAGAGGAGGTGACGGGCAAACTACAGGTGGCGAGGAACCTGATCATGAAAGGCACAGAGATGTGCCCTAAGGTAAGGATGGACAGTACACAGAATCTGTAAATATGTTAAGCTCATCTATACCTTTAAACTTTAATGTACATAATAATACTTCCCTGGGGTACTGTATTATAGGAGAAGGTATGATATTTCAGGTATCAGTGCTGTCTTTCAAAGCAAACAAAGCATTGCTTTGTATATGCTTTGCATTATTTCTAAGAAAATTAAAATTATTTATTATGTGCAATCTATGTCATTTTTTTCATAGAAGCACATGCATGTAATTTCTTCATTCTAAATTGAAATTGTACATGTACTACCTTTCTTGTACCAAATAGATAAAGTTCATGATTATTATTATTTAACTGTGCATTGACAGCTATTTAATTTAATGACACAGCAATGCTGCTTGACTGATTCGCACATGGGTTCATTTGGTCTTCGCCCTCCTGATGCTAAAAATATTTCTCTCTTCCCACCAGAGTGAGGATGTGTGGCTGGAGGCAGCCCGGCTCCAGCCTGGTGACACAGCTAAAGCCGTGGTAGCCCAGGCTGTCCGTCACATGCCGCAGTCCGTCCGCATCTACATCAGAGCTGCAGAGCTGGAGACAGATGTCAGGGCCAAGAAACGAGTTCTCAGGAAGGGTAAGGCAATCACGCAACATTACAAAAGATCTAAAATGACCAAAGGAATGCTTTTTGATAATTCTCTTCTGTGTAAAACCATTGTCAGCCTGTGAGAAAGTGAAAGTTTTGAAACAAAGTGTTGCTGTTATGTTGCTGTGTGAATCTTGTGTGCGTTCCCAGCAGCGCCCTGCATCAATTTATATTAGACGATTTCTTTGCCAAAAGGAAGTCGCTATTGTCTGCAGGGTAAAAATTCACAACCAGTCTCAATCTGTCCTTTGTGTCATAAAAAGCGCCCACACAGAACTACTCTCTCTCTGCACTCAATTAAAATTGCATAAAAGATTTCCTAACGGTTACATTTGGCAGCTGTGGTTCTGGCTTTTCATCAAGGCCATGCACCCGGTTAAAGCCATGGTGTCAGTGCTCTAACACACACACATACACAACACACATATTTCCCAGCAGCATTCCCCAGTGACAGAGATGGATGCACAGCTTCCTGTGTGGGAGAGGTCTCTCTCCGCCTTTACATGTTCAGTTGCCTTTGCGTTTTTTCCCCAGACACTGTTGAACTTTGTATTGCAGAATATGCTGTTTAAACAGTTGGTTGCCAGTGTAAATAAAGGTCTGTGTATTTTCTGTGAAATAAACACTTTGTTATGGCTTGGTCTGAGGATTTTAACATTTCCAGGTAATCTTTTTGCCTTGCGCAACACACAGACCTGCTCACATCAATCCATGAAATGACTGAACTCTTGTGTAACTGTTACTCATGTAGCCCTGGAGAATGTGTCCAAGTCAGTTCGACTGTGGAAGACTGCTGTTGAGCTGGAGGAGCCAGAGGATGCAAGGATCATGCTTAGCCGAGCTGTTGAGTGTTGCCCTACGAGTGTGGAGGTACGCTGAGCACATGCTGTTTTTTTTCATGCATCCACTGCAGTGCAACAAACAAAGCTAGCACCGACCTCTACATTAAATCATTTTCCCTGTCTGTCTCTAGCTGTGGCTGGCCCTGGCCCGGTTAGAGACCTACGAGAACGCCCGTCGTGTCCTGAACAAAGCTCGAGAGAACATTCCCACTGATCGCCACATCTGGATCACTGCTGCAAAGTTGGAGGAGGCCAATGGCAATACGCAGATGGTGGACAAGATCATCGACAGAGCCATCACCTCCCTACACGCCAACGGTGTAGAGATCAACAGAGAGCAGTGGATACAGGTGTGTTGCTGTGGCTTTGTGATTTCTTCGACATCTCCGAGAGTGAAAAAGAGAGAGCAGCATTCCCCGCAGCTGTTTGGAGACGAATATAGAAATGCAATTGTAAAGATCAGCTCGAAGTGCGAGTGATTAGAAAAGAGCAGAGGAGCAGAATATCTTGTTGAGTAGCAGAGTAATGAGCCTCAATGCTGCGATGGGGGGCCGTGCGGGGCCACCCTCATACATTCAAGACTAAAGATGCAGCACACAAGTCTAAACTGAATGAATGTCAAATCAATGTGGAGAGAACTGATCACTTTTATAAACCTTATTTTGTAAATTTCAGCACACATGTGATAACAGTACGTTTTAAATACTTTTTCAAGCACAAATCATGAGGCTAATTGAGTTGAACACTTCTAGTAGTCGGATCGGAATCGAATCGTGAGGTGCCTAGAGATTTCCATCCCTAATAAAAACTATGTGTTGCACAGCTGTTGTGTACAGATGTAACTAATTAACGTTGTCTTTGTGGAGTAGTGTAAAAGAAATAGAGGTTTGATTAAGTTATAATTCACAGTCCACTGTCACTTCAACGTTGAGAGAAACCGCAAACAAAAAGTCTTTATACCATAACAAATACACCAGTAATGTTCACAAACACTGGTGTAACTCCAACCTGTAGTTTCAGTTATGTCCACACCCTTGGAAACCTGTAAATTATGAGGTGAACAAATGAATGTTTGCACCTTTTAAATGTTGATGTTGAGTGAGTAGAGACTGCGTAATGTGTTTGACGGCATGCCAGTATACTTTGGCAAAGCCGCCTTCTGCCATTTCATCTGGGTCCAAAAAAATACAAGCCAGCTCTGTCTGACTTTTTGTTTAGTGCAGCTCACTGTTGTTTTGCAATCACAGAATAACTTTGTCACATGTTCTCTTTTCTTTTTCCTGACTATCTTGTCTGGCACTATGTGTTACGCTCATTGATACACCAACGATAAAGATAAAGTCATTTTTATCAATCAGAAATCCAGGTTCATGTCCTTTTTTCTGGTTCCAGCTCCATAATTCCTCTGAAATTCCACAGTAATTTATCTGTTAACTTTTTACATTGTCCCCCTGTGTACCAACCAAAATGTCTTTCCTCCTGAATTTTTCCTCTTTTGTTGCAGGATGCAGAGGAGTGTGACAAAGCAGGCAGTGTGGCTACCTGCCAGGCTGTGATCAGGGCCGTCATCGGGATTGGTATTGAGGAGGAGGACCGTAAACACACTTGGATGGAGGATTCGGAGAGTGTGAGTACTGCAATATCTTTTTTTTTTTTTTTACACAGGCCACGCTTAGACCAAAACTCCTTGAGAGGAGCTTCACATAGTCACTTACCATCAGAGTTTCATAGATGCTTGTTTGTTATGTTTCAGTGTGTGGCCCATGGAGCGCTGGAGTGTGCCAGGGCCATCTACGCCCACTCTCTGCAGGTGTTCCCCAGTAAAAAAAGTGTCTGGCTCAGAGCCGCCTACTTTGAGAAGAACCATGGCACCAGGTGACCAGCTCTTTTTTTGTAAATGTAGCTCACTCGAAAGCTGGAACTTTCTTTATTTCTCTCCTTTACTCTGCTTCATCAGTTCTTACTGTGCTCCTCTCATCCATTACTCTTTCATTGTTTCTTTCAGAGAGTCTTTGGAGGCCCTGCTCCAGAGAGCAGTGGCTCACTGTCCCAAGGCTGAGGTCCTGTGGCTGATGGGTGCCAAGTCCAAGTGGCTGGCTGAGGATGTGCCTGCCGCCAGAAGTATCCTGGCTCTGGCCTTCCAGGTAATGATGCAGCCAATAAAATGTTTGACCTGTTTATGTAGTATCCATGTGAGCATGTGTCTCATTTATAGCTGAAAAAGTTGAATCCTGCAGAGGATTTGTTGCATTTATGAACTTGTGTGAGTAGAGAACCTCCCGCTCCATTGTTCATGTGTGAAAGGCAAACAGCGGAGAAAGTCAGGAGACCCTCCACAGGACATGACCCTTTCTTCTGTTCTACCTCTGACCCACCTTTTATTTTTCTAGGCTAACCCTAACAGTGAAGAGATCTGGCTTGCTGCTGTCAAACTGGAGTCTGAGAATAATGAGTATGAAAGAGCCCGTCGACTGCTGGCCAAGGCCCGTAGCAGTGCCCCAACAGCCAGGGTGAGTGAGAAAAGAGTTTCAAACTCTCATGAGGGTTATTCTGTAGAAAATCCTCTGAACTGCTGGAAAAAAGGCTGAAGAGGCTAGATGATAAAATATACTGAAAAGATAAAATAAGAAATGTGCATATTGTGTTTTGTGAAGATTGATGCCATAAAAACACCAAGTTTTTGGGCTATTCATTTGTACAGAGGAACATTTTTGTGTGTGTTTTTAAGCTGTCCTGCCATGACCCACTGTACCGGATCATTCAGTTTGTTTTTCTCAAAGTAATGCTGGTAATGGTGGCTTGATTATCAGATTTTATTCATCTCTGCTTTGCAACCTTTGTTTAATAGTAAGTCAATAGCCCATGGAACTATAGAGTTTCTACAAACATGCAGTTTTCTCATGTTCAGTCTTGCCAGGTTTCTGCATCTCAAAACAGTCACTCAAACAAACTTCCACTCAGGTTTATCAGGTGACCTCTCCACCACTCTTTAAGTGGTCTGAATTGTTTTCACTGACAGATATGCACTGATTGTCCTGTCAGATAAGATGAATACTTGTGTTGATGAAGCAGTATTAAGATTGTGCCTGAGTGAGTTTGTATTTGAAAGTTGGTAGTATATTTACAAAAGAGCCTGACAATACTGATGTTGGGGGATAAAACTTATTCTTATATATCTGCCAATATATAAATTTTTAAAAATGTGGTCATGATTCCCGAAGAATTTAACCATAAACTTTATTATAAAGAATAATATATATTTATGAATGAACAAAATAAACATATTTTTAACATAAAATATAAACATTAATGCACATTTTTTCTGCATTGTTTATTCTGTCAATAAAACTTTTCATATCAGTGCAACAGAAACTCTGTTGCAGATATGTTTGTGACAGATTTTTCTCGACCAGGCTAGATTTGGCATTGTATAAATTGGTCGTACAGATATTTCAAGGGGACTTTGAAAGACTAGTTCACAGGGTTTGTATATATTTCCTTGCTGAACGTCTTGTGTGTATTTATAATCTCTTCAGGTATTTATGAAATCAGTGAAGTTGGAGTGGGTGCTGGGAAACATAGATGCTGCCCAGGAGCTGTGCACTGAGGCCCTGAAACACTACGAGGACTTCCCAAAACTTTGGATGATGAGAGGCCAGATCGAGGAGCAGGGTGAAAACATGGATAAGGCCAGGGAGGCCTACAACCAAGGGGTGAGGATGGGGAACTAAAGGAATTCTGACTTCTAAGGGTTATTTCTGCTCACATATGTTTTTCGATTAAATGTTTGTCTCTAATAAATGGCATATGTCTCGTTTGTTGCTTCAGTTGAAAAAGTGTCCCCACTCGGTGTCCCTGTGGTTGTTGCTGTCTCATCTTGAAGAGAGAGTGGGACAGCTGACCAGAGCCAGAGCGATCCTAGAGAAGGCACGACTTAAGAACCCCCAGAGCCCCGAGCTATGGTGAGAAAACACACAACAAAGTGTGAATAAGCCACTTAAATACAAAAGCAGGATGCTGCTTGAGGAAGCACTTAAGATTGAAATGTGTCTCTTGTGTAGACAGCGTATTAATTATAATAATGCAACTGTTTAATGTGATGATTCTGAAAAGGGCTCTTTACTCATTATGTTCCCTTTTTCTGTGGCATTTTCATTTCACTGCATGGAGGAGAAAAGCTTGCACCAACACCCACGCACAGATTGTATTCATTTCTGTAGAAACTTGAATCAGAGAACATGATGCAACATGGGCTTGTACCACATTTATTTAGATGCAGCACAGAAACACAAACTGAGATTGATGTCAAATAAAAAAAAAAAAGAGCTCCACCTATCAAACGCTGACCGACATGTACAACTGTGTGTCTGAAATGATGTGTATATGATCATCAAACAGGCTGGAGTCTGTCAGACTGGAGTTCAGGGCCGGACTGAAGAACATCTCCAACACACTCATGGCCAAAGCCCTGCAGGAGTGTCCCAATTCAGGTGAGAACATAGTGTTGCTGTTGTGTGTCTCAGGACATTTGTCATATTTTGTAGTGTCCTAAAATCACTGTCCAAAACTATACTACAGACCTTTAACAAAAAACTTAATTTTGAAAATACTTACTGCATTTTTTTCACCATCTGTTATCTGCAATTCTCCATTTCCCGCCACTCCCTGTTCCTTCCTATAAAGGTATCCTGTGGGCTGAGGCTGTATTCCTGGAGGCCAGGCCCCAAAGGAAAACTAAGAGTGTGGACGCTTTGAAGAAGTGTGAACATGATCCCCACGTGTTGCTCGCTGTAGCCAAGTATGACCGTGTCTTCACCATCTTTTAATTCTCAATAATAAGCCCTGCTGTTTTTACATTCCATTTAGCTTTTCACATTTTGGTATGAACAAGTTTTGGTTTAACTTATCTTGTGTGCACATTTCAGGTTGTTTTGGAGTGAACGTAAGATCACCAAAGCCAGAGAGTGGTTCCTCAGGACAGTGAAGATTGACCCAGACCTCGGAGATGCTTGGGGTCTCTTCTACAAGTTTGAGCTGCAACATGGAACAGAGGTTAGTCTTACTATTGACTGTCCTTCTCTGGGTGAGAGAATCTGTGAGACTTTGGGGTAAAACTTGCAGTTAAAACATCAGGCAAGATTGGAAGGATTTGGGCAGAGGTGTGTATACAGTATATGATGCACTTGCTTTGGCCAAATATTGTGTCCAACCTCACTGTTGTTTCATTCATTAGGAACAACAGGAAGAGGTGCGGAAGCGTTGTGAGAACGCAGAGCCCCGCCACGGAGAGCTATGGTGTGCCGAGTCCAAACACGTCCTGAACTGGCAGAAGAAGACGGGAGAGATCTTAGCGCTTGTAGCCAGCAAGATCAAGAATACATTCTGAGACTAAGAAAGGACATTTGGACTCAATACAGGTGGAGGACTCTGGCAGTGACGGGTGTAGCAGTGGACATGCTCAACCTGTCCGTCTCTGGACACCTACCCCTTTACATGGTTTGTTGTTTTGCCACCTTAAATTGTACTTACCGAAATTAGGATATAATATCAAAGTGAAAAGTGAGTCGTCAATACAAACTTTACTGTCAAGTTTTGGAGCTTTTGTTGTTTACACACAGATGATCTCCGTTCAACTTCTAAGAATCCTTTGCTCCGAGGATGAGGATTTAACAATGTCGGGTTAGAGTTATAATCTGTCAGCTTGTTTTCATGTTTTTCTAAATTTGTGATGAATTTGTTCATTTGTTTTCACTTTGATATTAGTTTTTTCTGATGATCGTTTTCAAAAATCTTAATGTCAATCTCTGTGGTTGTTGAAGAGAAAATAAAAAAAACATGCAGAAATGAAAATGAATCATTTCAGTACCCTGTTATAGACACATGTACCAAACACACACAGGTTGATTCCACCTCTGGCAGTATACTGTGGACAGGAACCTGTGGGAATCAAGTGATCTGTAGTTGCTCTTTACAAAATGTGTTTTGTAAAAAGAAAAATCAAAACATCACATTTTAGAGGATTTTTTATTTTTCTGTCTGAGGATGTGTCGGAGGTTAGATTTGGCTCCGTCTGTTCAACAAGATGTGACTGTATATACACTCTGTCAGGGGCTAATATCTGATCTCTCATGTTGTAGTGATGATCTGCTTTTTTTTACACCGCTTGCTTGAAATGAGTTTGAAAGAAATACTTTGCAAGAATCCAATAAACAAAGTTTATTGCAGCAGTCTCTGTTGAGCTGTGTTTTTAAACTCTCCGCTTTGACTTGATGGGCATCATTTATTTTTGAGCGTGGTTTCTTTGTGATCCTCCCAGTCTCAGAGAGTTTGGCCTCCACCATGCTCGGTGGTTATTCAGGTGACTCTAGGGATTTCAACCAGTTCAACCACCCGCTGTGAAAATGTGTGGACTTTAAAGTAGTAAATGTGTTAAATGGCTCTTTGAGAATGAATGGCTCTTTGAACGTTCCAGCAAATCAACAGCTGCTCCTCCTCGGTCTTGCATCTTTCCAACGAAATCGAAACAATGAAGCTCAAAGTGATTGAGTGCAGACGTTTTCCTCGACTTGATCGGACTGGAGTTTGGTGAAATCCTAAGCCCAGCGTCATCGGTCCATGAAGGGGGGAAGGCAAGTGGAGCGTGCCGTTGTTGATGTTGGAGAAAACCACGGGGCACTTTATCGGAAGTCTATCCGCCACAGTGATAACCTATCCACCGGAGGAAGCGTGACAAATCCTGGTGTGGGGGGTTTTGGAAGCGATGATACCCGCACGACCAACAGCCGATTCCTCGGGTCTCCGTGGCGCTGACTGAGATGGGTTTGCTCGTGTGAGGATCCCGCAGCAGAACATGATAAATGGTGAGTGTGGATCTTTAAACGTGGTGGCTGATGGGGAACGTGACAGATGTTTGTCCGCGGACACGGGGACTGTCAGCGGGAGCTCCAAACATCTGCAGAGCGACAGATGCTGTGCGTCCGAGCAGGAGCCAGATGAACAATGACCCATCGTCTTTTGTTTCCTCTTATCGTGATTTTAAAGTGGACGCTTTAACAATAACACACAACTCTGTGTTTTGCAGTGTTTGACCGGATCCTTACTCCGCAGTGTCCTGGTGCTTCTGTTGTTGCCCAATTCTTATTGCGGCAAACGCAGATGTAACTATAAAGAAATCCTGGACTCCTACAGAGTTGTCATCTTCGTTGAGCTGCAGAATCTGGTAGGAAAACACATGATTTCAAACAGATTCACACCGTAGCTTGTTTTCAAACTCCATTAACTAGCATGTTCCCAGCGAGTTTATTCAAAAGTCAAACATGTGGTGCGGGGGGGGATGTTGGAACACTTCTGATGAGAGGCTGCCCTCCAGTGTTTGCTGAAGTTTTCTCTGAACCAGCTCTACTGCCTCCGTCTCATATTTTGAATGACAAGCATTTTTAAATCTATGTGGATGAATCCAGACTTGGTTGCTCTCTTGCAGAATCTGACAGGCTCCATTAACACCTCCAAAGACAGAGACCCCTGTCCCCCAGGAAAGGTAAACAGAATGTACACTTTCAGCACCATGGACAGGGTGATGATCACTGCAGTAGGTTTCAGGAGAACGTGTCACATCATCTGCTGCACAGAGAATTTCAGAATGCATTCATGCAAAAATTATGAGATATAACGACAGTTTCCCCACGGCAGGCACGTCGCATCCTGGTTTCAATATATGGTATGACACAGCAGGCCCGGTGTCAGAGGAGCGGCAAGCAGCAGTCTGATTTGGAGAAGCCAGTGGAGAGCATGGAGCAGCTCATCGTTCACAACTGCAGCCCTGATTATCTGGTGAGGAGAAGGTTTTTGTCAACTAAACACAACTTGCAATTTTCAGTTGTACCACAATAAACAGAGGAAGCAAAGGTGTTCCACTTACCACCACAACAAGATTTAGAATATAGGGCAAGATGGTGAATGTCCCTTTGTTTGAAGGTCTTCTGCACCAACTTACTTCTTTTTTTCACTACAGAACATTTATTTATTCTGGTTGTATTCTGTCAGGGGCGGAGAACCTCTTGTTCTGCTGTCAAGAAAATACGAGGGAAGAAGAGAAAGAGGAACAAGGTGATCAAAATTATCAAGGCGTTGATCACTTGCTGGCAGAAACTTCAGAGCGTCTACATGCTCCCAAAGTAGCAAGATATCAGGTGGATATTAGGTTCAATACATCTAACAATGGATATGACAGGCCTTTTTTTCTAATACAATGTCATGAATGTTCTCTGTTGTCAAGTTCTCATAGTTTTGTGTAGTAAAATTATTCCAGACTTTGTATGCCAGCAGTGCTCCTTGTTTTTTGGAATAGTTTTACAGCAACAACGGATAAAGCTAAACAAAATATCCACAGTGTATTAAAATAATTTCTAAATCTCTCCTGTTGTAGCAACTCTCATGTTTGTGTTTGTAATCATAAGCTTGAAATGTTCCTCTGTCACTTGTAGAACTATATAATAAAAATGTTAAATTCTCTTATCATTGATGTTGATTCTATTATAACTCTCACTATTTGTCAAACAGCAGCATTACAGTATGCACCTATCATACAGCTCAGTATTTAATAAAGTAATATATAGAAAGAAAAATAAAGTGATAATTAGGCTTAGATATTAAATAGAAAAATACAATGCATGATAGTTACTTTTTTATTGTTTTTTATTTTAAAGGAATTCTAAGTCACTAAAATAAAAGATATAACATTTATATAATTATTCCAGCAGTTGATAGTTAGTAACAAAACAGAGCATAAGAATAATAATAAATGAGTCAAGGGTAAGTTCACAGCAGTGGGATGAAAGTCTCCTCAGCAGAACTTGTATGAAGTATGTGCCAATGGAGATATTGACCATATAAATATTTGAAGTATGAGGTGATTGTAAGACTATTGAAGCCAAATATAAATTCAGATTTAAAGATAAATAACTGAAGCTATACAAATGTGTGCATTAGACTAACACAGCCTGTAAAACGATGATAAAGCAGTTGTAAGTGTATTTGGAGAAAAAAAAGAAAACAGTGCAGGAATGAAACTTAAAATAAAAAATATAAAATCAGATAAAGATAAACAAAAGCAGCCATTGTGATATTATAAAACTTTCACTGAGGAGATGATTGAAATGAAATAAGCAAAAGTCTATTTACAAAGTGACGTATGAGAGAAGCGGAACCTTTCGACTACAGCGCTTTTTCCGCCCGACACTTACTAAATGCTGCACCGCGTCGACCAAACGATCTCACAACGACGCGAAACATCAACAACTGTTCATTCAAGGTAAAACGATAAATCCCTGCAGCACGTTTTAACAGGAGAACGTTTTAATAAGGTTTGTTCAAATGTTGATATTTCCTGTTTAGTTTTTCAGCGACACACTGAGTCCTTTCATCTCCTCCGGACATGAGCCGCTGTCATTTCTCAGCTGAACGAGTTTAGTTGTTGTTGCCGCTTTGGTTTAACAAGCAGCTCGAGGTGAAGTGGTCCTGGACAGACAGAGACAGACAGAGACAGACAGAGACATGGCCAGTGGCGGCAGCAGCGTGGACATGGATCCAGATGTTGCTCTGAGGCTGTTTGAGGAGGGGGCCACCCTGGTGCTGCTGGGGGTCCCCCGGGGCACAGAGCTGGGCATTGACTGCAAGAGCTGGCAGGTGGGCCCTCGCTTCCGGGGAGTGAAGATGATCCCCCCGGGTCTGCACTTCCTCCACTATAGCTCCGTGAACGCGCCGAGCTGTGGCAGTGAAATTGGCCCCAAGAAGGGCCTCTTCCTATCCCTCAAACCCAGAGATATCCTGCTGGCGAACTGGAACCCCAAAGAAGAAGATCTGGACTTCTCCAAGGACGAAGAGGAGGTGAGCCGCATCCGGGCCACCTTGCAGGAGCTGGACCCCTACCTGGGGCCCTACCCGTATGAAGTGATGAGGAAGTGGGTGTCCCTCACCGATCGCCTGAGCGAGGAGTTGTCCAAAAACCTGCAGCCCTTATCCGGAAGAATATGTGCCTACAGTGACGTCATCCCAGAGGTTGAGTTCAAACACACCAAGGACAGAGCGGAGCAGCCGAGGAATGACACGGCCTGTCAGAGCATGAAGGAGGGACTGGACAGGCTCCCCAGGATGAAACAGAGGGAGGGGACGGAGCTGCGCTTCTCTGATATCCCCAAGAAGACCTACCCGCCTGGGGCAACGCCAGCAGAGATCACCAAGTGCAGTCTGGACCTGAGCTATGCCCTGGAGACTGTGCTGGAGAAGAACTACGAGCTGCAGCCTCTCCACCTCCTCGGTATTTGTTGCAAACATCAATATCAGGCCATTAAAAAAGCATTTTATGGTTTTACTAACTTTCCCTCTCCTCTCTCAGGTGAGCTGCAGTTCGCCTTTGTGTGCTTCATTCTTGGAAACGTGTACGAGGGCTTCGAGCACTGGAAGAGTCTGCTGGCGCTGCTGTGTCGCTCAGAGGACGCCATGCGGAAGCGTAAGGAGCTCTACCTGGGACTCATCGCCGTGCTCTACCACCAGCTCGGAGAGATCCCGCCTGACTTCTTCGTCGACATTGTGTCACAGAGCAACTTCCTCACCTCCACACTGCAGGTACGGTGCCCACACTCAGAACAGCGGAGATGCAGGGGGTGAAAAAAGAAATCAAAGAAAATTCGAATGAAGAAAAAGACTGAGATGTTTGTCCGGAATAGCATTTATTGTCAATCTGGATGTAGATAATTCATCATTTACACGTATGCTTTTCCTGTGACATAACTTTTACAAGCCAATGGACTATTGTGGCTTCGAACTTACTGATTTGTTAAATAATTAAAGGATTTGTTGTTCAGAGGGCTTTTAGTTTTCAAGCGAAGTAGATAAAGTTATCTTAAATTTCTCAGCTCAACTCCATTTTGGCAAAGGAGTAAATGATCATTTTTAATTATCTTAACACAGGAAATGTTCCTTTAACTTGTTAGCAATTGTTATGAAACATATAAACACATGCTCCAGTTGTTACTCCGTAATATTTTATATGTCTTTGGAGGATTCAGTGAGAAGAGGAAAAAGGATAAAGTGGATCCTACACAATTATTTTCTTAGATTTTAGACAAACAGACTTTCTGTTGTCAGTGTCATTAACATTGTTATAATATAGAGAAGATGAAAATCAGTACATCACATGTCAGAGCCTAAACTAAATCATTATTGCTGTCAAAGGAGGTTGATAAATAACTAATTGTTTGACTTATTTCCTCACAGGACTTTTTCCAGTTTGCCGGTGGCCCCGGTATCAATGACACGCTCCGCAAGAGAGCGGAGAAGTTCAAAGCCCACGTGACCAAGAAGTTTCGCTGGGATTTCGATGCAGACATGGACGACTGTGCCCCCGTGGTGGTGGAGCTGCCTGAAGGTGTGGCAGCGGATTGAAGCTGCTCTGCTGTGGACTTGATGTTGATACTGGAATCAGAAGCAGGGGACAGGACTGAGTGTATGTGAAGCTGAGGGGGAGCAGTGCAGCTCTAACACCAGACACAGAGCGTCACAGATGACTTTAATAGGAGGTTGTACATGTACACATGTTGCACCCTGTTATTATTTAAGCAAACATAAGTTATCCTCATTTCAGTTACAGCGGCGATGCGGTTTACTAAATACCAACGGTGCCCTCTAGTGGTCATTTCTCTCATGGAGCAAAACATGTTGTCTTGTATTGCTTCCTACTTTTTTAGCCAAATTTATTCCAAAAACCAACCCCATAGTATTTTTGTAAACTTAAATTAGAGTGGTTGTAGACCTAATTAGTAGTAAGAATTCTAATTAATAGGCTATTATACACAAACCTGTCCTCTTCATCAGAGACAGAGGACATAAATCTTCACCACAATTGCTACTTAATAAATGTATGAATAAAAGAGCTTGAGTCTAACCCTCCAAATTTTGTAAAAACAAAATCTACGTAAGTTTTTCAGCATTTTATAAGGGGACAATAAAGTAGAGAGATTATATTCATCATAAACATAACTGGGTTAGAATCACTACTGTGTTGCTGAAAACCTTTTTCATTTTATGCATCTGCAATGGAAGAAAGGCAGTTGTGGTTTGCAAGAGTAAAGTGGTCAAATATGAAGATCACATCTCAGCTGTTTTCATCATTTTCAACTCATTTTTACTTTTCTATGATTTATTGGATCCGAAGTTTACTTGAATAAAAACAACACTTTTGATACAAAGACGTTGTGAAGTGTTTTGTCACAGTATTTACATCATGTTAAATGTTTCCTGTCTGGAGTCATCCCTTTCTCCTCCACTAGATGGCATTCATAGGCTTTTTGGAAAGATTAAAAACTTCATGTATTTCCATTTGGACTTTCGTTGTCAATTTCTAAATTTAGTTTTCACACAGAATGAAAAGCTTTTGCTTTTGTCGCTGCAAAGATTTTAGTTTTAGTTGGAACTGGCAGGATGGATGGAAACGATCAAAGCTGATCTCAAGGAAGATGTGAGGAACAAAAGGTGGAAGGAATGAGTAGGAGGCTGCACGAATCAAAACAGGATCAACTGGATGAGATAATAACATGCAATCTATTGGCTCTCTCTCTTTCTGTGTGTGCGCTCTGTGACTGTGATGAATTGGACAGGCCTTGTATTATCCTGTGTGTCCATCAATCCATTCAGTCATGAATTTGTCCCCCTGCCCCTCCTGAACCCTCTGTCTCTCCAGCTGGACGTCTCTGCTTTGACGTGCCCCGGCTCTGTGAACCCATCTGTAACCATAAAGCTGCTGTGAAAAGGACTAAAGCCATTTAATGTAATTATCTGAATCAATAGAGTCTGGGGCTTGTTGATGGAGATCCAAATACCAATACAAGAAACCCATCCTCTTCCCAGACGACAGATGCTGTTGTGAAATCAATGGTAATGGTAGGCTTTAAGATGAAAAACCCTCCTTTGAAACATTTACATACATCTTAAAATGAGATCAGCTCTGTATTTGTGGTCCACTCAGAGACCACTGGGGCCCTGCGCCGGTTTGTTATTTTCCTTTTCAATGCAATTAAATGGAGAAAATGGCTTGGAACTCACGGTGGAAACATATCAGCAACATGGAAGGAAATGTACCCCAATTATTTACAGATTCATTTTCCTCTCCGGGGATGAAATACTGTACATTGTCAATGAAGAAATGACACCACAGGGACATCCTTGGCACACCAGCCCCTCCATTAAAGCTGGAATTACAGCAAGTCAGCAAACAACCTCACGAAGTGTCCAGCGTCTCTGTGCCGCACGCATCCTCTTCACCCTTGGGGAACGGTCTCCTGCCATCTTCCTGGTATGGCAACCATTTTCCTTTTAATCTCCCCTTATTTATTTCATCTGGTGCGGACCCTGAGGAAGGAAGCAGGCTGGGAAACTGGTTTCATTGATTGTGCAGCAGAACCTCAAACCTTTGCAGCAGGCCCCTGGCAGTCATGGGGAAGCTTTCTCTCTGTTAGATGCAAGCTGGTCATTTTCATGCAGCAGACAAACTGCTCACCCTGTCAATTGAAACGCAGGCCCCTCGTTTTCCATGGATGTCGGTGTATATGCAGCCTCCTGACCGAGCACTGACCCCACTTTTAATGTTAATGTGAAAAATATCTGCAGCGTTTGATTATACGTGTGAGGGAATAATTCAATTATGAATTGAACCAGTGGTTTCTGATTCCCCCCCCAAGCATTACTGCTGCCAAGGAAGTTATGTTTTTACTTCTCTCTGTTTATTTATTGGTTTGTTTATTAATCAGCAGGATTACACAAAAACTACACAACAGATTTCCATGAAACCTGGTGGAATGATGGGACAAAAAAGAAACCATTACATTCTGGTGTGGATCTGGACAAAGAGGCAGATCTTCCCAGGGAATAATTCATGAATCTTGATGAAAGAAATCAGATATATAGTCTGAAGACTGATATGATACTCTGAGTGTGTGTGTTGCTTGATTGGATTTAAAGGGGACTGTTGGTCCTTGGAGGAGGTGTGCACTCTACAGAGAGACATTCTATTCATTCCTGAGTCTTTGTTTGTTAGTTTGCAGGATTACGTAAAAACTCTGGGACGGATTACAACAAAATGTGGTGAAAGGATGTAGTGCAGATCAGTTAAATACAGGTGTGGATCCACATCAGGGGTAGATGCAAGAATTAATATTTTAACCTTCTTTTATATTGCAACATTTTCATTGTATTTCTCAGGGAATACTGGATCTTTCAGTGGAGACATGTGCTCTACTTAGTGCCATTCTAGTTGTTAATGTTACCAGTAACACTTGGGCTTTTTTTAGGTTGAAATATCTTCTGTGAAAAGAGTCTATTGTTCATGATTGGTGTAGATTCAGAAAGATTAGATAAGCAGGAGTATCAGCACATAGAGATTCAGTGCGTTCTAACTGCTGTTTTGCATCATCTTCATCATCCTTTACATGTCTGTAAATACAATACTTGTGTAGAAGTTCCAGATGCAAGTCTTTGTTTCTCACATTTTCCCTCTTTCTGTTTAATGATTGCCATTTCTCTGCCTGCTGTCTGTCTTTCACTCACTGATGTGAAGTCTGTTTCTCTCTACGACCACTTTGATGTATGGCAAGATGCATAATTATAACGAATAGCTTGTCAAAAAGAAGTGGGCTTTCAGTTAATTGCCCGTGTCGTAAGATTCCATGTGGGAAAAGATGTTGATGTGCAGAAGTCGAAAGAGTTTACTGTGTGATTGCATTGGCCCCAAAAAAAGTATTTACAAACATCAGCAGTGAAGTGAACAGTTGGAACTAACAGTGAAAATGAAAAACTCTGGTCAATGACTTGCAATCATAAATGACTATATAACTGTCATGAAAAGTGTGTATAGACACGTCCACACACACGCACCAGCTGCTACTCTCTCTCACTTTTTTTTGTCAACCTCAAAAGTGTGTGTGTGTGTGTGTGTGTGTGTGACGACCAGGCTGTGATTCCCCTGTATTCCCCCTCTTCACATGTCTGTCTCGCATGACCCAAATGTGAGGCAGGCACGTGTACATTTTCCCAGGACATGTATATGAGTGTGCATCATGGGAGGGCGCGTGCACGCTTGGAGCTCTGGTGCCCAGACATATGGATGGGGGTGGGGGCACTAAAAGCGAGGATGGACGAAGTTAAAAATCCCTCCTGGAAATTTCATACACACCAGGGGAGAGAGAGAGAGAGAGAGAGAGAGAGAAAGGAGAGAGAGAGAGAGAGAGAGAGAGAGAGAGAGAACAATATGCTCTGTTACAGTGATCTGCTGAAGTGATTCAAGCCAGGAGCTAAAAACAAAGTGGTAGACCTTTGAGGTCTGGTCATCAACATGTTTGTCAGTGTCTGCCTCTCTAGTCATGTACAGCATAAGGACTCGACAGCTGGCTGATACAGTTCCCAGGCTGACTAATTAAAGTTGCAGAGGTGAAACAAGTGCATGCTGTGATTAGCACGCTAGCAGACACACTCACGTGTCAGTGTTGTCATAGGACACGTTAAAGTGTCTGCACCTTTATCGTCCCGGAGAGTTTAACCAAACACTGGACGAGTCATTTTGAACGAAGCACAGTGAGGAGCCTGCACGGACCCTATTCCCAGCCAGAGTCCATCAGATAACTTTCACTCTCCCCCACCTGCCCATCAGATGACTGATCTCTGACTTCCATTTTTAGTGTGTGTGTGTGTGTTTGTGTGTGTGTGTGTGTGTGTGTGTGTGTGTGTGTGTGTTGTCTTTGGCTGTGGCATTCAGAGCATGAACTCTGGCAGACCTTGTCACAGCAGAAAGGATTTGAATATCCCTGCACTCCAAACACGCACAGGACGGCTCTGCTTTCACACACACACACACACACACACACACACACACACACACACACACACACACACATATACACACACACACACACATATACACACACACACAGGCATGCACACACACAACATATGCGGGCACACAACTACTCAAGAAAAACGTGGGCATGAGCCATAGACAGTGAGTGTGGGTGCATGTGTGTGTTCGGAGGTGAAAGCAGAGCCCCGCTGGTAGCCCCACACCCAGGGGAGAACCTGCTGAAAGGCTACAGGGTGGAGAGGAAGGGCAGGAAAGGAAACCCTTAAGTGGACCAGGTCTTTTCAAATGGTGCTCTGAAAAGGATGAAAACACTCATCCGTCACTGTTTTCTACTGGTGTTCAATTCATTCCTCCTGTCCTCCGTACTTGTTTTGACTTCCTATCGGGTTTTTGCCTCATTCCTCCTCACTCTCCTGCCGCCTGCACCAGCACTGCCCCTCGATTGTGAATAATTCAGACATTTCTGATGTATTATTCACACACACAGCTTTTGTCTACTTCTTTCCCCTTACTGTTAAAACACACTCCTCGGTCTTTCTCCTCTGTAAAATCCTCCCTCTGTGAGCCTCCGCTCCTGCTCCCAACATGTCAGGAATGAAAGATGATTTATTAGCAGGTGTGAATATTTTCCCCTTGGAATAAAAAAAGATTCAAAAATGTATTAAACATTGGAATTTGCTTAAACATAGAATAACCTACCTTTCATAGCGTTCTCTCTTAGTGAATATAAATAATTCAGGAGATGTAACTGTGCACAGGAGTTTCTGTTCTGTCTAGATTATGGCTATATGCAGGGCTGCACAGGTGAAGAGCATCTCCACTGAGGTTGAGGGTTACTTCTCCTGTCCACATATCATTGAGAAAGACACTAAACCCATTATTAACCTTACAACTCCCTGATGGGTAGGTACATTTAAAACAAATTAGATTTGGACAACGTCTTCTGAAAAATGAATGTAATGAAATACTTTGGATTTTGGATAAAATTTGGAACTCTCTATGTGGCAAATGTTGAGATTTGGCAAAAAGTTCAAATGATAATGTACCATTCGAGTGGCATGGTGGTTTAGTGGTTAAGGCTGCTGGTTTGATTCTGTGGTTGGCTGGGGTCTTTCTGTGTGGAGTTGCGTCTTACTCCCACAGTCACAAAGACAGCTGAGGTTAATTGAAGACGCTAAATCATCTGTAGGTGTGAATGTGAGTCTTTGTTACACTGGTGACGTGTGCCGTCAGCTGGGATTGGCTCCGGCTCCCTGTCACCCTAACATGATAAATGGTACAGATAATGGATGGATGGAGCATTTGATTAATTTCTTCTTTTAAGGGACAGAAAGAAATTCATCTATTGTTCTTTTT